CGGGTCTCCGTCGCTCTCGTGGTTTTTAATGGGCTTTGACTCGGTCTGTCTGTAGAGGGCATTACTGGTTCGGAACGGAGCATCGAAAGAAGTCGGGGTGTCTCGTTACGGGAGACAACGGGAAGACCCCTGCGTACACCCTCCGCCCGATGTGGCTCGCCCCCTGCCCTTGGCGGGGGGGCATCTTTTGGCTGGAAAGTTTTCAAATTGAGATGTGTAAACAGGCTTTTAAACTCCACTGTAGTTTTCCTTTATGGTAATGGTCCGTTGTACATGCCAGTTCTAAGTTGAGTCCTCAGAAATGGTCTCGTGGCCATAACAGCAACCTGTTGTACGTTTTTTAGACTGTTTGAAATTTGGAGTACAGGCCTCGGAGCAGAGTCTAGAATGCATTCTTCCGGAGGGATCACTAAGAAAAATTTGTTGCACATTATACTTTTAATCTTTGCTGGGATGGGATGCAAGGGCCTTGTGGCATTTACACCAGATTACTGTAGTTCGGAGGAGAAAATGTGTATAAATATGCAATGATTGATATATAACATCACCTCACAGAAGCAAGTGGTATTACTGATGACATTTCTGAGTTTTCAGTTGATGTAGAAACCTGCTTCTTCCCTAAAGACTTTTAGAGTCACATGCGTTTGCAAAAAGAAGTTCAAGATTTTCATATATTTTGCATTCCTCCTCCTAAAGGCTGGAGGGGTTAAAAGCCTTGTGGGGATCTTGGCAACTACAGGATTTGGTGTCCCTGCTCACGCATGCTCCTTTCTCTCTTGCTGTGGCACCGTATTTTCTTGTTCAGCATCTCCCTGGTATGAAATCAAACTGACAACAGCAGACTGCTGGAAGTTTGCTTCCCTTGATGACCGTAGCTGGTTTTGAATGAGGAACGACAGAAGGCGGCTGTTTTAAACCACCACTGACCTGAGCCATCAGCAGGTTTTCTTAGATTTGCATCTGCTTGCTTGCCCCATTCTCTTTCAGTCGATATTCCTTTGTCACACTAGACTGAGGAGTAAACGGAGGGCGAGGGCAGGAGTCAGTGTAATAGGCAGTTACAAAGTTTCTTTAGGACAAATAGCTAGAAAATGTCTAGGACGGTTTCAATGTAACAGTTTCCATGTTACTGTTACCTTGCAGAAAGAGGTGTGATTTGCCTAGGCAATCCCCATCTTCTGTCAAACCCAGGTTAGGGTTCCAGAATGAAATACCACATGAATGTAAAGTGTATAAAAATAAATGCTTGCAAGTTCATAATAATTTCATCCTCATATATATGTATACAAAACCATGGAAAACAGAACATGATCCTGTCCAAATATGTTGATAACTATGCCTATAAAATATTCAGAACCACAGAGCAAGAGTATATTGGTGACTTGAAGCTGACATTATTTAAGAGTATATAGCATCATTAAAAGGTACATAGTTGGAGGAAGAACTCAGCCATGCTTGTCTTTCCTTGATTGATGTTAAGATAAGGTTTATACAGATAATTATCTCATCTAAATAATGGCTGGTTTTAGTGTCACACTTTATTTTTCCAGCAGATGAAGATTTATTAGGTGATTGAAATTCTATTAACAGGAAATGAATCCAATTTGGCTTTGCAAAATGCAGCATAGGCCAAGTCCAGACTTAGAAGCATCATTTGTTAAATCATTCTGTAGCATTGTAGTATAGGGGAGGGTAAGTTCTGAAATTTGAAAGTGTCCTGCTCTACATTTACATACTAACTTTGTTCCTCAAACAAATCTTTATAATTACTTGGGGGTAGGCTAAAGAGAGCTCCAGAATAATCATGCTGAAAGATTTTTTTTGTGTGCTTTTATTGTTTTAGCTTCTTTATAACAAAAGACAGATACGATACAGATTGTGAGCTGGACATGAACGCCATGGGGCTTCTGTGTGACACTTTCCTTTGTTTTTGTCAGTGATGAAACAGGCATGGAAGTGACCTCTGAGGTTGGAGCTCTGCATTCCTGAAATGTTGCTCAGCTTAGTGCAGGCCAGTGTTGGGAATCCACTCGTTCACACAATGGTAGCATGCATGCACTAAACACCCGTGTGGCTCTGGGACGCTGTTCAGACAAATTGAGCTGCTGAAGTAGATTTGCCTGATGAGTGATTGGATATTCGCTTTCATCAGCTCCTGATCAATAAGAACTATACTTAACCCTTTGCAATATTAGAACCTTTCAGTGTTTGTGCAAAACCACTGCTATTTGGTTTTATCCATGACCCTTTTACGTAATCCAATAAAATAAGATTAGTAAATTCTACTGATTTAAAAGAAAATTTCTATGGGGGCAGAGCCTTAGTTGCAGTCCTGTGAAGCTGAAGTTGCACCATGTTTTTGTTCAGGTTAAATGCAGCAGGTCTGACTGCTCTCCTTCTTAGTGATGCTGTCTGGCAACTGTGGGATTCAGAAGCATAGGGAAGTCAAGCTCTATCGTCTGTACTGTGGGAACATGATGCCATCTGACAGTATCTCACCCTCCGTCAAGGCTAGATGTCTCAGACTGCTTTTTGCTGATGGAAGAGCAGAGCATGACTGGGGTCTGGATGGAGACTAGCATCATTTTATAAATCAGGATTAGTCCTTTGAGTCTTTTTGTAACTGGTGTTACAGTTTGGCCTTACTACCATTCTGCATAGGTAAATAAATTGACAGCCAGGACTCTGTTTTCCTTAGGTTATTTATAAAAACATTCAGCCAGTCTTATGCTAACTCTGGAAACAGCAGACTCTTGCTTCAGTAGTAGTACAGGTCAATGCAAGTTTGCTCCTGAATTCCAAAGAGAGTGTTTCTTATAATTATTTAAAATTGGTAAGGAATTAAGACAGCGTGCTAACTTATTTCTTTTTGTGACATCTTGAAGCTCAGGTACTGATATTGTCTTATTCATTCCCCTTCAGCTGATGTTTTGGTAGGAGTTGTCCACTGGACTCAAATTTACCAGAGGGTGGAGGGCTCAAAAAAGGTGGTATAAAGGACTGAACCCGAGGCATTTTGTACACATATGTGTATATATGGGGATTAAGATACATGGAAGTCTAGGCTTCATTCATTCTGCTGTTCACAGAACAATTTGGGGGCATTTTCCTTGTTTTGAACGCACAAAATCTGGCTTGCTAGGCCGGCAACAAAAGCATTCATTTAAAAACTTGCCAGAATGCAAACCATTTATATTGGCATTTTTATCTTGCATGTGAGCAGGCTCGCATACTGCAACTTTTAATGCCAAAACCACATCCATTCTGGGCACTCATTTACTGTGGACATAAAGATTTCTAAGTATGACTGAAGCTATTTACTATCATCCAGATCTGCATTTTTCCAAAAGGTTCCAAGCCTCTTTTTTGTATTTATCATGTAAAATCCCAGATAATTAAATTTCCACCTGGCTAAGTAAAACAAATGCAGTAGCTGCCAAAGACTATGACCAATGGCAGTGTGTGCTGTGCCAGTCACCTGCAAATTTGCAGGGACAGCAAGCATACCACTCTGCCCCTGCAGCTGACTCTTACTGGTATCAAGCCTGACACATACAGATGAAGAACCCTTTCTGTCCCAAAATAAATAGTAAACCCAAAGCCCATTTGTTGCAGAATACTCTATTTTAGACAGCTTTATTTTTATGTGGTCAAAGAAAAAAATCTGATTCTTTCCTAGCATCTGAAATTTGATAATTCAGGCTATAATTTTCGAAGTGTAATACCTTTTCCTTGTATTTGCTCTGTTGAAACTTCTGGAAACATGCTGAGTTACCCTTACCAAAGTCCTCTGGAAAAAAGGTGTCTTTGACAGTACAGTAAGGCTGGTGGAGCAGTATCATGTCACCCATTTGATTTTTCTTGTGGTTGTTGCTTAGAAACATAGCAGTTAAGTAGCCTTAAGTTTAGAGTCCACTGCAATGTTTTGCTCTTCCTTAGAGGTTATGCTGGCTAAACTGTCTCTCTTAAAACAAAACTATGTAATATTAGTACTGAGAGATTCAGTGAATGCACTAGGCTCTTTTTTACTGAACATCCTAAAACATGCTTATCAGTTGCAATGTAGCCCTGCTACACTTTAGGTGTTTAAACTTGTGCCATTACATTGTGTATTTGTAGTTAGCTGTAGTTAGTAGAACTACGGGTAAGTTGTGCCTGAACAGAAACTGAACAGAAGCAGTTAGGCTTTATGTAAAAGGGACTTGTTTTTCCCAGTGTAAATTCCAAGTGTCATGTCTGCCAATAGTCTCTGTGCAGACTCCCTTTTGCTTCTGTTTTTTTTGCCTTTCAGACCTAAAATGCCTTGTAAAGGTCACATTAAGACACAAGTTTGGAGGAAGCACAGTTGTTATTAGTGTTATTATGAATAGGTGGCTTCAAGAATCCAATACGGCACCCCTCAACAACACTAAATTTACTTAAACTTTCCCAAAGAATTCACAAACCCATCAACATCTTTCATAAATTAATTTGCTGTTGCAGGAAGGACTCAGGGCAGTGTGCATGCTTTTAATATTACCAAGTTAAATCATCTTGGCTGCAGCTTTCTATTCACTGCAGAAAGCATTATATTGATATTCTGATTAGGTACAGATTAATTTTTTGATGGAATAATTTTAAGTAAGTAGAATATGTCAAGCACAGCAGCAAGATTACTGAGGTTCAAAGCACAGCACTTTGCATTTCGTTAATTTCACATAATTCTTACTGGCATCTATGCAGTTGAAACAGCATAATGCATTTATGTCAGCATTTGTGTTAGGGAATTTAAAAGAGGCATTTCAGCAAGAAAACATAGGGTGTTTTTTTTTAAATGGAACTACACTTTTTGAGCTACGAAATGTTTCTGGCCTGCTGCATAGTAAACCATTTTTCTGATTAATGTGTTGAAACTGTGAACATAAAAATCCTGGGAAAATTGTTTGATCGTGTGTATTTTAGAGCTGCAATTGAAGTATCACATTTATCTTAACATGAAATTTCATAAGCTATAACTTGCCACAAAACAATTAAACACTTTATTTTTGCCTTAACAGGATGATGGTGCTTTGTTTTCTGAGCAGAACACTGCAACTAGCCAGACATTCATCCAGTCCACTGGGGAGACAACTCTGTTCAGCCAGTGCAAATAAGCCAGTGTTAACTTTATTCACCAAGGTAAAAGTTGTTTACAGAATAAAGCTAGGCAAGACTGTGTGTTTATCAGCTTTGATATACATGAATCCCAGATGAAATATCTTGGCCATGCTTTTTGTCCCCTTCAAATTTGTGTACTGTTGGGCATTCTACTTTGAGAGTGTTTTTTACACCAGGTTTTAGAGCGTGGTCCTACTCTCATTGTAGCAAGCAAGTAGTTACAACCAACAAACGAAGATTTCAAGATAGTTGTGTCTCAGTGACACTATGGTCCATTTACTAGCTGAAAATTGTTCTCTAACTGCCAGTGTTTCATCCCGGAAATGGATAATAAAGATGAGGTGTTACATATAATCTGCCCAGGACAAGCATTAACAGCCAAAGTAGGCTCTTCAAAACACTTGAGTTTTATTTCAGCACTACCTGTGAGACTGAAAATACATGCAACTAGTGTTGGTAGCACATGAGGAAAAAGTAGATTGTGCTTTCCCCTCTTTTTGCTTTATTGGCTGTGTAATGCTAACAGGAATAAAATGCAGGGAAAGGTTTGTCTGTGGCATGAAGAGATAGGATTCTTAAGCATATTTAGAGAACAGATGTGATAAGCAGGAATGGTCATTTGTGAACTGTCACCTTCCATGAATCATTGTCAAGAGCCTATGTTATCTGCTGAGGTCTGTACTTTTAGATAGGATGGCACGTGGTGGGCTACACTGCATTTATATAGCTGATGTAGCCTTCAAGAGGAGAATAACTAGAAATGCAAAGCACTGAGAATGTTGACATCAGTATTGCTATATTTTTTGGAGACTGATGCAATTAAAATAACTTCCGCCTGCACAATGTTTGTTCATTCCATCCCTAGCCATAAAGGAGTGTTTAAACTGTGTAGCATACAAATAGGTTAAAAAAATAAAAGGTCACAATCTGTTTATTAATCAGAGCAATGCATGCTATAAGAAGAACTATACTTTAATATTACAGCTCTCTCTCCCCTTGCTTGATTCAGCATCAACTCATTCATAATCCAAATGTGATAAGGGAGGGAATAATGAGCTTACTTTGGGGTTAATAATTGGAACAAAGCTCTTTGTATGATTTTTGTATCTTAAAATTTCTAACTAGTAAGACACTGTATGAAATCAAATTTCCTAATAGCAGAGTTCAAGTAGTTCTGTAAAGTGGCCTCTTGTTGAATGTGTTTTTAACTTAAAATGTTTTTCATGTCTCTGGCAATTGCAAAGCAAAATGCAGACTACTTTAAAAGAGATCAAATCTGCACTCTTAGTGTATGCTAATTAACTCCTTTTCCCCTCCTTCCTATTTTTAAGAATAAGGAGAAAAGAGGAGAAGAAGGCAGGAGGGAGCTTTGACTTCTGCAGCCAATTCAGACTGATAGAAGCTAGCACTGCCAAATGGTTTTCCCCTCACAGGCTCCTTTTATGACAACACAAGCATTTGTATGCCATGGTTTAAACCCAGCCAGCAACTAAGCACCAAGCAGCCACTCACTCACTCCTCCCCCCCCCCCCCCCCCCCGGTGGGATGGGGAGGAGAGTCAAAACCAAGTAAAACTCGTGGGTTGAGATATGAACAGTTTAATAACTGAAACAAAATAAAAAATATAATAATAATTGCAAAGAAAGGGAAGATAACAAAAGCAAGTGAAATATAATCCAAGAAAGACAAGTGATGCACAATACAATTATTTGCCACCTGCTGACTGATACCCAGCCAGGAGCAGTGATCCACCCCTCCCAGCCAGCTCCCCCCAGTTTATATACTGGACATGATGTTGCATGGTATGGAATGTTCCTTTGGCCAGTTTGGGTCATCTGTCCTGGCTGTGTCCCCTCCCAACATCTTGTGCCCCTCCAGCCTTCTTCCTGGCTGGGCATGAGAAGCTGAAAAATCCTTGATTTAGTATGTAAACCACTTGACAACAACTGAAAGCATCAGTGTTACAAAATTATTCTCGTACTAAACCTAAACCACAACATTACACCAGCTACTAGGAGGGAAATTATCCCAGCCAAAACCAGGACATTGTGCAACAGCTGCTTCAGATTAAACCCCCCCTTTTTTTTTGCAAGATTACTATTAACTCAGATCAATTCTCCTGTCTAGCTCTACTGTGCAACTGTTTGAGTGCTTATGCCAGCACAAAAGAAACAGTGGCAGGAAGACGGGTCTGCTTCCTTCAGCATCAGTGCCAGCTTAAAATGACCACAAAACTTCAGTCTAAGTATGCAGTATAAATGACAATTATCTGTAGAAATAAAACTCTCCCTTCCACCATGTGTATTTTCTAACAGATATAGCTATCAACGCAGCATATGTCACTTTGGAAAGGCATTTTTACTGTCTCAGCAGTAGGAGTCCCTTTTGCCACGGTAATATACATCTGAAAGAGAAGGTTGTCCGAGACAGCTTTATCCAGGCAGACCTATTACAAATTAATATAAAGCAAGTGATGGCAGAGACCTACTGTTGCACTGTTCTACTGAAAAATATGTAGTAATATAAATTGACCATTTAAACAGATTTCACTGTCAGTTGAAATAGTTCACTATCTGATTTTAAACCTGTTCCGATCTTATTAGTACTGCGTAGTGCTTAAGCTTGCCATCAGAGCAGGCGTAAAAACATATTCTTTGCTAAGAGTCACCTTAGTTTGTCAAATGCTTTTATGTGACTGTTATGTTAGAAAGCTTTCCACAGGCCTAGTAGAGTATTTAATCCAAATTAATTCACACACAGGAAATAAGATGTAGCTGTTTCAGATTAACTCAAAATTTAAACAAGCCCTAGGAAGACTTTAAGTGGGAGGGAGAGAAGAAGGTCTTTTCTGGCTGTGAGAGGAATTTCATGGCAGAGGAACAGAGCCATCACCTTCACCACTGTATACTTTGCTATGTGAATTACAGGCCAAATTCTGCCATTGCAAATACTGAAGCAATGTGCCATCATGTGAGTCACTTCTTCAGGTACACACTGCTTTAATGATCATGATGCATGATCAGCAGAAGTCAGCTGTATAACTGTAGTTTGACCCCATCGCAGGTCAAAACACTGCAGCTGTTTGCCAGTTCTCCCTGCTGGAGGTTACTGTCCTCCCAGCTCTGCAGGTTGGAGGATCATGCTTAATTCCTTTCAAAGTCAGCCAGGTTATCTTAAGTCACCTTCTTTTGCTATTTGAACTGACTCAAGTGGCTCAATCTGAAACATTAGAAATTACTTATGTGACTTCCTCATTCCCCTTCTATCAAGGGAAATTCTTCTGTCAAGAGTGGAACCCACATTTGTTTTCAGCTGGTGATGGCAATGCTTTGAATATTCTTTCCTGCTGACCAAAAGAAGGGGTCTGTTTGTGACCTTCCAAACCATGCCCTTGAATCAGTCTTTACAAGTACCATTTTAAACTGTTAATTTGCACCATAAGAAAAATAATAGCAAATAAGAATTAATTAAATTCTGTGGCTGAATAGTTTATTTTCTTTTAATCCATGCTGCAGAAAAAGATTTAGAAAGCAGTAAGACAGGGTGGTACGGGGGAGGGAACCCACATTTACAGTAACGATCACTCCTGTCTATGTATGTTACTTTACAGTACAAATGATCTGTGTATTTTACTGTATGCTTTGAGTTGGTCTGAATATTTTCCTTTAGAAACCATGCCCTCTATGTGATGAAGCAAGAGAAGAGCTTGAGCCATATAAGAGAAGGGTAATGTATTGCAATACTGTATGCATTTTCTATATAGCAAGAAGAGTTAATCAGGATTCTTTCTTTGTAAATGAAATTGCTTGGATTTATTTGCATCCGTTATTCTTTCATGGGTGACTCTTCAAGACAATTTCAGCACTGATATCCATAAAACTCATTATCCAAAAGCATTTTGCAACAATGCTACTCAAATACGTATTGGTAAAATAAACCAATATACACCTTGTCACAATAGTTTTTAAACTCACTGCTTTTGAAATACTATTGCCTTGTCTGATAGTGGAGTTTGCAACTTTTATAAAGCAGGTAGTGATATCGTTTGGGAAGGATGTTAGTAAGTGGGACTTCAAATATTTGAGCTATATGTCTTTGCAGTTTTTGCCATTCTTCAACCAGGTTTCGAACTCTTCCTTGAAGGAAGAAACCGTTAACAGAAGCATTAAGAGATCTTGCACTCCACTGCCTAACACACAGCTGTTATATTGCCAGCTGCATATTTGTTGTGGTTGGTGCTCACAGGAGAGTGGTTCTGCACAGAGTGTAAAGAATATAATTCTGGACTAGGGAGAGAGTCCTTTGTGGACACGCAGCCAAGGATTTGGGCTACATACATTTTGTACCCCACAAAATGGGCAATTGCCTACAATATGGAAGAATAAATCTAAAAGCACTAAGAAAACAGCCTCGCATTTCTGAAAAAAAGGTTGATCAAAAGACAAGTAGGCATTTTTTTCAGTGTCCAGCAGGTACTAACACATTTCTTTTCTGTCACAGTTTATTTTGCAGGAGGTGGATATTACCCTTCCAGATAATTCAGTGTGGTATGATAAATACAAATATGACATACCTGTTTTTCATTTAAATGGAAAGTTCCTAATGAAGCATCGAGTAGACATTCAAAAGTTTGAGGACCAACTTGTGAAGTTGGAGCTACAAAATGGTGGGAACCAGTGAAAAAAATGCAGTTGCTCTGGTGTGGATCTGAAAGGACTGTGCAACATAAATTCTGTGAAAAAGCGGTATTCATTATCTGGCCTTATGTTTCTTAGAAAGTATGGTACCAGTGTCCTAAAAAACTTGAGTGACTTGTATTCTGTTTTGCATTAATCGTCTAGCCCAGCTGCACCAGTAGCAATGTTTTCTGTACCATTCCTTTGCTGCTGTCCTAGGCTGGCTTTTTATTGACAGAATAAATGATGCTCCATAACAGCAAATAAAATGAGATGTGTTTGTATTGGGTTTGTGTGGCAAGGTTTTATTGTGGGCGTGGATACAGAGGTGGCTTCTCTGAGAAGCTGCTAGAAGTTTCCCCTATGGCCAATAGTGCCAATGCCAGCTGGCTCCAAGACAGACCCACTGCTGGCCGAGGCCGAGTCCATCAGTGACAGTTATAGCACATCTGTGATAACATATTTAAGAAAGGGACCTCCCCCGCCCCCCCTGGCAATTATGGCCAGAGAGAGGAGTGAGGATATGTTAGAGAAACAGCCCTGCGGACACCAAGGTCAGTGAAGAAGGAGGGGGAGGAGATGCTCCAGGCGCCAGAACAGAGATTCCCCTGCAGCCCATGGGGAAGACCATGGTGAGGCAGGCTGTCCCTCTGCAGCCCCTGGAGGTCCACGGTGGAGCAGATATCCACCTGCAGTCCATGGAGGAGCCCACACTGGAGCAGGTTTGCTGGCAGGACTTGGGATCCCACGGGGGACCCACGCTGGAGCAGTGTGCTCCTGAAGGACTGCAGCCAGTAGAAGGGACCCATGCTGGAGCAGTTCACGAAGAACTGGAGCCTGTGGGAAAGACTCACATTGGAGAAGTTTGTGGACAACTGTCTCCTGTGGGAGGGACCCCATGCTGGGGCAGGGAAAGAGTGAGGAGTCCTCCCCCTGAGGAGGAAGGAATGGCAGAGACAAGGTATGATGAGCTGACTGCAATGCCCATTCCCTGTCCCCCTGTGCTGCTGGGGAGGAGGAGGGAGAGAAAATCAGGAGTGAAGTTGAGCCTGGGAAGAAGGGAAGGGGGGGTTGTGATTTTTTAAGATTTGGTTTTGTTTGTCATTATCCCACTCAGATTTGATTGGTAATAAATTAATTTTTTCCCCAAGTCGACTCTGTTTTGCCCATGATGGTAATTGGTGAGTGATTTCTCCCTGCCCTTATCTCAACCCACAAGCCTTTCGTTATATTTTCTTTCCTCTGTCCAGCTGAGGAGGGGACCGATAGAGCAGCTTTGGTGGGCACCTGGCATGCAGCCAGGGTCAACCTACCACAGTGTTTCAAGATTGTTGGTATGTGTAAGCTGTAGGTCTGTAAGAGACTTCCTTGAAGAAGTCTGGGAGTCTATCCTAAGCGCTCATTTGAAATGGAGAAGAAGGTACTTACTGTAAATGCAAGGGACACTTGGTTAAAGACAGCACGCTCTCACTGAAGCAGTCATATCTACAGAACAATCATCACAATTTGATACAGCTGTTACTAACACATGAACACTGAGTAGTTTATTTTTTTTCTAGTGAGATGAGGATATGTTGCACTTATGCCTATTTTATCTACTACAGCAAGATTTGAGCTCCTCAGTACTTAAGTTACTCCCAGTCACAAGAAAAAATAAAAATAGAGTGAACTATAACTGAGCCAAAAGAATAAAATCTGTAGTGAAAACAGCATTTATTAACTCCAAATATGTCTCTCTGAATGCTACTAATTTCAGAGAATAGGATGAAAGTAAGAAACCCTAGGAGTGTCTTCAGAAATTTCCTGGTGTAAGATATGGGACTTCTCCCTTAGACTCCAGTTATGTTCTTAAAAAAATCCGTGCTAATGTATAGTCTTCTGCCCTGCCTGGGGATGCTTGTGGCATAATTCTCCATCATTACAAATCCAGTGAACAGAAAAAACACTTTTTTCTGATATGATGGGAACAGTGCTTGGTCCTATGGACTAGAGTTCTGTCATAATTGAGTCCAGTCGTTACGCTTTCTGACAGAAAAGAATCACATTTTGGTTCTGGCTGCAACACAATTGCAAATCCATTCATCATATGGCAAGAATACCATTTATCAAGGGTTACTGCAGTTCTACTAGTGCATCATTGGCAATGTAGGGATGTGCGGTAGACAGATAGAATGCCTAAGTTAAATATATTTTCAGGAGGAGGAGAAAGATTAAGAAAAAGTCAACTCTTTTAAGTTGAATAATCTGTAGTAAGCACTGGAGAAAGTTGTCAGTATTTTTGATCTACTTAATAGATCCTTTAACATAGAAACTAATCCCTGCCTGCTGCATTTCTGTTCTCTCTACCACGGTGGCATTCAGTCTTCCCTCATCACCAGGAATTTAAACAGGGACACTTGACAGATGTGTCTTCACAGGGGGTGGAATCCAGCCACAATACCCAGTTAGAACAGCAAACTGAAATTCACTAGGATTTGTTAGGGACTTTAGGTTTTGGAGTATGGTTCAATAAGAAGCCAGCTGATCTGGTATGGTGAAATTGTGCAGCTCCTATATGGCCCCATCCTACAGCGTGTTTAGCGTTTGACAGATCATTTGCCACCCAGCTCTGATGTATTCTGCACGATGAAAAATTTCTGGGCAGTGGGAGGTGAGAAATTAAAACTTTCTTCCAGTTCAGCAACTTGACTCCACTCAGAAAGGGTTCTGAAAGTATCCAAGAGTTCCCAGGACAGAGAGGTGTGCCCTTTTTATAGAAGAGAGCTTTAGGTAAGTTCAGCCTCATCATCTAACTATACCCTGAGATTTGTAGGACTTTGGAAACTTACATTTGATAGCATTTCACATTCCTCAAGAGGCCTGCAGAAAGAGAGTGGCATCAAATAGGATGGATTTACTAGATTTGCAAGAACTAAAGAGAAGCTTAGAAGTTTAAGCATCTCCTTAAATCTGTTTAAGGCCTTTTATCAGCAATTCTGTAACTGTTTGATCCAAAACCAAAATTACAGCCAACTGTTGCTTCTAAAGGAAAACACTCATCCTGACTTTAAGTAACCAGTTTATTCTTTTTGTAGCCTTACTTCACCTTTAGAGCCTGCTGCTTCACCCTGATGTGGTCATTTACACTGTAGAGGAAGAATAAGTTGAGGAGATTATTAAAAAAAACCAAGCTGAAAATTCTCAGAAGTGACTGAACTTGAGAAACTCAGCAAAGTGTTAAGTGTAATGCTTTCCCCAGCCCCAGAGGAAAAAAAAACCAGGCAAAACTTGAAATAGCAAGATGCTTCTTGAATTGTATGTTGCAGCATAGCTTTGCCCTACCTACAGCGCTTTTTGTCACCATTGACAGAAGAACAGGACCCTAGAGACACAAACTTCTATACTTTCTGCAGTTCATAATGCTACAGTCAAACTTCTGTACCACAAGTTACTGTTAAATAATAGGTCTGAATTACCTCTGTATCAGCAAGCAAGTGCCATTTGCTTTCCTTCTGTAAGCTGAGATGGCTTCAGAGGACCCAGGTTTTTCTTTACTGAGGTTTTGTAATAGGAAAACTGGCATACAGCACTTAACCATAGTTCAAGCACTTTTCTAAAATACAAAATTATTATCTCAAAGATATGGAGGAAAGAGGTCATGTGGACTTGCCCCATTTCCCAATACACATCACTGACAGAGGCTGGATTAGGAATCAGAGAGCAATTTGCCATTGTTTTATTTTTAATAAAGTCTGTTTTGAGAAGGAAAAAAATGGAAGCTAAAAGCAAACTTCTTAATAATATAGCAGATGATGAATTCCTTGCTCCTTATTCATTCAGACTGTGGAAGTTTTCTTCTGCAGCCAGTGCCAGATTTCTCCCCCCCCCCCCCCCCCCGCCCCTTTATTTTGTAAAGGGAATGGTAACAGGATTTTTATAATAGCTTTTGTTGATGGTGTGGCCTTTATCAGTGATGTGGAGGTTTTCCATTAGTTCTGGCTGTGGGTGCTAGTTGCATATAATGTGCAGAGAAGGGGTGGC